CAACACAATATATATAATATAATACAATACATTATGAAACAATAAAAACAACTGTCCAAACAAAGTGCAAGTATTCTTCGATTATAATTAATTCTTTGACACCTGTCTGATCTTCTTCTGGCCCCTCTCTGCTAACTAATTAGAGATCTTCTATCTAAATGATAATTTTTCTAGTTAAAGTTGTTAGTTTGTCCCTTAATTGTGTAGTGATTAAAGCATAAACTTGCTTTTTATTGTGTTTCTTCAAAAACAAAAATAAAAATAATTGAATATGTTTTTGTAAAAAAAATAATAAATTACTTCTCTATCTCTTCAATCACCATAAACTATTTTCGATAAAACCCTGACTCAATACCATACCACCCCTTCGAACACCATAAGTATGCATATACATTGATTTGCTAAGTGTAAAATGTTTTGAATGGTTTATTATGTTTTGCACTCTTAATATATGTCTTTTAGTAATTGATGTCGTGTTCTGTTTTTGTTTTTTTAATGTTAACCTCTTTAATTTTTTTTAGAAAACAATAAAATAATTTTTTTTTAAAAAACATTCAAGATGATAAAATTAGAATACAAATAATTTAACTAAAAAAAATATGCTCAAATCTAATCTAACTAGTTAGTTATCGTCTTTTGTCATCAATAAAAAATAACGAATTAAAAGTTAAAAGTGTACTTTGAATCCATCTTAGGTGTAAAATTATATATTTCTAGTTATATAACTGTGAGTATTCTTCATCAAAATTACTTAGCTATGTTTCTAATATAAAAAAAAGAATTTTCGCAAATAACCTCTACATGTTTCATAACTATAATTTGCATATTTACGGATTGTAGCTACAGTTTAAGCTGCCTCATTTGTATAGTTTGCAGGTTTCTATAATTCACGTGTATGTTTGTATAATTGAATGATTTTTGTATAAACTCGAAATAACGAATTTATACAAACACAAACATCTGAACTTTAAATAGCTATACAAATTATATTATACAAAGTTACATTATACAAAAGTTATACAAATTATATTATACAAACTTGAAATCCTAGCCCACATAATTATAACTGAATATTGATCGCGAGTAGTAATTAACTAAAACTATAGTCATGATAACTAATTAACTAATAGATGTTTGCTTAACCATGTAATTTTCCCTATAAATAAAAAATCACAAAATTTTATCTTTAATAACACAAGAATCTATACTTGGGCTTGGGCTTTTGAAGCCCAGTATACTTGGGTCTTGGGCCAATGCTAGTTCAATTCCGCTGCTAATAATAGGTCTTGCGCGCACGACGGCACAAGTAACATGAATGATCAAAAGAAAAGTAGGGGTGTACAAAACCGAACCGTAAATCGAATCAAATCGCAAATCGAGTCAAACCAAGAAAAAAACTTGACTAGTGGTTGGTTTGACTTGGTTTGGTATTGAAAAAACAAACTCGACTATATTTGGGTTGGTTTGGTTTTAACTAAAAAACCAACCCGAGACCAAACCAACTCGACATTATATATATATTTTAAAATTTTATTTTATACATAAAAATATTTACTTTGATATAATTTTTAAATATTTCTTATACTTTTTCATAGTTTTTATCTTTTAATATATTATTTCAAGTTTGAAACTTAGAATTCTAAATGGTTCAATAAATATTATAGTCCACATATGTTTGTAATTATAATAAAGCTTAAATCAAAATCAATTTTTTTTCCCGAAATATTGCAATTTATTCATCTTCCATCAAAAAGTACATGTTGATCTGTAGGAGGTTACAATCAGTGAATTACTCCTCCCTAGCATGAAGGATACCAAGATCCTGTATGAGATGAAATAAATACAAAAGACAGTTTAGACAATGGCTTTCTAAGTACAAAGCCTGCGTGCAAAAAGTTATAAGTCTAAACATCCCAAGGTCCATCATGGAGGATCCCAGATTAAATCTTGCTTCTTCTTCTTAGATAGTTGTATTTTGGTAGGACTAAAGAAATATTTGAAGTACAAGTAAATTATATGTTTGTATGAATACTTTACTGGAAAAACTCGAAAATCCGTAAAATCCGAGGTTGAAAAACCCGAGTTTTATTGGTTTGGTTTGATTTATAGATTTAACTATCCGACACAAATAGTTTGATTTGATATTTGAAAAACCCGAACCAACCCGGTCATGTACACCCCTAGTCAAAAGTTACAAAAATATACAACTACTCTGTTGTTCAAGTTTAATACATCTAAATACATTCTTTTTTGAATTGTTTCATATTATGACTATTTTTTTTTAACAATACATAAATATCTTAAATACGTTCTTCGTTCACTTTTATTTGTCAAGATTAAACTTTGCAGGTCTCTTGATAAATAATAATTGATATGAATATTTTATCATAACTATTCATATTAAATGATGTTTAATTTTAAATCTTGAAATTAATTTAAGAAAAAGGTAAAACCTAGAAAAAATGCATTTCTTTTGAAATGATAAAAGTTACAAATAAAATTAAAATATATTTTTAATATTATAAACAAATAAAAATGAACAACGAGTACTCTGAATACGTGTATTTTGTAGAATGTTGATCTAATCAGCAATTCAAAACCTCGTGAAGTAGCTAGCTAGCTGTCTCTTGCGTGCTTACCTCGACTTCTAAGTAACGCCATCCTCTTTAGGAATTTATATAACTTTGGAAGTAGCGATAATGTAGAAAAAATTTATTTCTCAAAGTAACAATTAGAGCTGTCAAAAAGGGCCGGCCCAGTTCCACCCGGTCCATGCCTCACGGGCCAAGGAATTTGAAGGGCTAGGGCGGGCTGACCCTTCATTCGGAAGGGCATGCAAATGCTCAACCCAACCCAACCCTAGAAGGGCCAAGGGCTGGGGCGGGCTAGCCCTTCCTTTTTTTTCTTTTCAAACTTATAATTCTATAACATCAAGAAAATGAGAAGATTTTCAAATCAAATATGGCAAATAATTGTGTTTTTTTAATAACACCAACAAAAAGTCTAGTGTAATTAGCATGTATCTCACATGCGTATACCAGATACGCGAGCGAGATAAGAGAGTGACAAGCAAGATTGGAAGGAGGCGAGGACATGATATTTCTCTATGCATCCTAGATACATGCAAATCTACTTGGATAGAGTCTATCTTGAATAAATTAACCTAATTTTGAGTCCATATATTCCGAGATACATGTATCTGGACGACGTACCAAAATCTAGTAAGATTCATAATATTACAACATATCGTGTATTTAAATAATTAGATTATATACTAGTGAGATTATTGTAAGTTACCCTTAAATAAAAAGTTTTGGCCCATGGACCGACCCTGGTCCCGCTCCGATCAAGCCTCAAGGGCTTATATGGGTTGGGCTTATAAGCCCTAGAGTTAAAGGGGCTTGAAAAATCCTATCCCAACCCTACCCAAATAACAGATTGGATTTGGCTGGCCCCATGGGCTAAACCCATTTTGACAGCTCTAGTAACAATATATGTATCCTCTAATGTTTTAATACACCAATAACTTTGAAAATATATTTAAACTATTAAATTACACTTAAAAAGTTTACCCCTCCACGGCAGTCTCATAATAGTTGTCATATATATTAATTTGATCATTTTTAAACCTAATTAATACGAGTAAATTTGATTTAATATTTTTGAACTAAACTTAGATACGAAAAATCAAGTATTACAAGTTGCAATCCTTCTAATGCTAATATTAATATAGTAAACAAATATGTCTTAAAATATTGATCAAAGTTCAAATAATTTAACTCTGGAAAATAAAATATAACAAGTATTTTGGTATGAAAAGAGTAATTATGTTTAAGACCATTTGTAATAAGCGCGAATCAAATGTTGAAACAAAATACTCCGTCTGCTCCATCTTGTTTGGCAATATTTTCTTATAACTAGGTAGTTCTTTTGGAAAGAATAGTGCATTTTTATATTTTTTTCTTAATAAGAAACTTTAAAGTCATACATGTATAATAATAACATGTACTAAATCACAATTTTAAAATCAACATTTTCCTTTTAAAATTTCTTACTAAATCAAACTAGGACAAACAACAATGTGGATGGAGTAAACAATAGTATTATGTAATAATTAATCGGTCAAACATATATAAAATAGGAAAATTTCAACTATTAGCGTATACAACTTAAATCCTAATTAGCTAAAATCTAAGGATGGATAGGGTACAACTGTACAAGTATGACGTATAATGTATATATATGATGATGCCTCGGTTTTTCTTCTATTCAATACATATACATATATACCCCCACACGATCTTATCTTTAATGTTCAAACACTCAAAAAAACAACAACTTTTACATCATATATAAATATATAAACAATGTACATTTGTACATGTATATATGTACCTGTATTGAAGTCCAACTAATTCAAATTCACGTCAGGTAGGATATTTTCAAAGATAACAACTTTTTACCCAAAAAAAGAAAATTCATATCCAAAATTTGAACTCGAGATCTCAATTTCATCGATTACACCAAACCTCATATATCAATATATAAACAATGTACATTTGTCGGCTTTGATCGACAGCTATTTATGACAGAAAAAAATTCTAATAAAAATGTGTTGAAGCTTATCATGGATATATGCATGCATGGCTTAACTAATTTCCTGCCCTTTGTTATAAGACAAAATCTGACTCAAAATAGCTAGGTTTCATATATAATTAATGAGTCTTTAATCATAATCTGTTAAAAAAAATGGTAGGAAATTAAGAACGTCGTGACAAAACATATATAGTAGTGTTGTATGTCATGTATTCGAAGATTTAATTAATGTGCACCGTTTCCATAGAAACAAACAAATTTTAAGCTTCACTCAGCAACTAGCAAAATCATGGACACATGTCTAGGACTCCATCCCCTTTATCTATGAGTAACCGTCTACAATTTATATAAACATGTCTAGCTAGCTAGTCCTTAATTCCAACAATTAATTAATGTCTTAAAAAATGTCCACTTTCACAACCTTTATTCTTCTTCTCTTAGCCATTGTTGTTGTTTCTAATAATGTTAACAATGTCACTACTAGCAACCAAGATCTTATAATTAACAATAAGGTGGTGAGGGTGTTAAGTGCCATGAAATGGGCTAAGGGTACTCTAAAAGGACAATTACTTAATAAAGAGGCAGAGGACCAAAGCTATAATGAATGTGTGAAGCTTTATGAAGAGACTGAGCCAAGGCTAGCAAGGTTAGTTGTGTTTGGTGGTGATCATCACAAGTATAATTACAGCCATGATGATGCTCTTACTTGGTTAAGTGCAGCATTAGCAAGTCATAGGAGTTGTTTAGATGGCTTAAAAGAGAAAGGCTTAGCTACTTTTATAAGTAGAAATGAAGAAGCTCAAAACTTGACTTTGTTGCTTAAGGATGCATTGTTTCATTATCGACAACTAACGACTCTCTCAAGAACGGGTGAGTCTTACCATTTTACTGCAACTCTTATCGGTGACAAAATTAGCTCGAAACAATGGATGATAGAATTTTAACCTATATACATTAATTAATAGTATGACGTAATGTTTATTGTGGTCGTACTCCCTTCGTTCTAAAATATTTGTCATGTTTCACCTTTCAAGAGACTATTTAATTAATTTTTAAAGTAAACTTAATATTTTAAATATTCGAAAACTATAAGTTGCAATTTTTCTCATATTCTATTGGTGGAAAATTATATCTTAAAATGTTGATCAAACTTTATATAGTTTGACTCTTGATAGGTGAAAACGTGACAAATTTTTTGGGACTAATAAAGTATGATTTAAGCTGATGTGAAAAGATATTTACCTTATTTTATAAGTTACTATTGATTTTATTTGCAATTTTCGTTTTGAATAATTTAAGTGTATATGTATGGAAAATTAAAAATTGCACTAGTGGTTTTTCTTTCCCCTTTTAATGGTCCTTTTGGGTGGGTCCACATTTGCTTTATTTAATATTTTATTATAACTTTTATAAATCGATACAGTAAATTTTCATACTATTTGGTTGTCTAAATCATGATTACATACATATAATTGTTCGAAAACGTAAGAGTAGTAACTAAATTGGAAAATAAGGAAAGTTACATACGACTTTGAGAAATGAAATACAACCAGGAATCGTTTCGGGACTAGCTATCTCGAGATTTTAGGGGATTATAATATGAGAATTAATAGTGACAAGTTTATTTTATTTATATATTTTTGGGATGATGTTTGGTTCATTGTAAAATAATAATAATGAAATCTCTGGGTATAATATAAAACATGTGTTTTGTTTATAAATTGGGACAAAAATTTTATTTCAATTTTGGCCTAGTCATGATGGAGTCGCCTTAGGCAAAGGGGTGGTCCGGTATACATGCTTCATTGAAAAATGATGTGGTTTACAAAAGTTAAATAGTAGTACTAGCTATTATGAATGTATATTTGGTGACAGGGGCACAATTAATACCAATGAACTCCAATGAAGAAGACAAGGGGCTTTTGGCATCATGGAATGCAGCAACATCCAAACCTGATATAGTAGTTGCACTAGATGGTTCTGGCAATTACAAGACCATCAACGACGCTGTGGCTGCGCTCTCTAGTATGACACGACCAGAAAGAACAGTTGTGTATGTCAAATCTGGTACATACCGCGAAAATGTTGAAATTGGAAGGGGACTTAATAACTTGATGTTCGTTGGTGATGGCATTGACAAAACTATCGTTACTGGTTATAAAAATGTCCCAGATGGAGCTTCCACCTTGGGCTCAGCTACATTTGGTAAGTCCCACTTATACTAGAATTTAATTTATTCTGTTTATATAACAATGATGTTCGAGCCAGTTTGTATTTGTTGTTTCTCACTAGTAACTTTCTCATGAACCACAACTTTAGTCATATATAATGTCATTTTTATTATAGGCGTATCTGCTGATGGATTTTGGGCCAGAGACGTGACATTTGAGAACACAGCAGGACCAAACAAGCATCAAGCAGTGGCACTAAGAGTAGGCTCAGATCTCTCGATTTTCTATCGTTGCAGCTTTAAAGGTTACCAAGACACGCTCTTAGTACACTCTCTAAGACAATTTTATCGCGATTGTCACGTATATGGCACCATCGACTTCATATTTGGTGATGCATCTGCCGTTTTTCAAAATTGTGACATTTTTGTTAAGAGACCAATGGATTACCAATCCAACATGATAACAGCACAAGGGAGGGATGACTCAAATGAGAATACAGGGATTGTTATACTAAATTCGCGAGTTTCTTCATCTTCGGAGTTCACTGCTGTTAAAGATAGTTTCAAGAATTACCTAGGCAGACCGTGGAAAAAGTATTCAAGGACAGTGTTTATTAAGACGGATTTGGATGGATTGATTGATCCAAAAGGGTGGAAAGAATGGAGTGGTGATTTTGCACTTTCGACATTATATTATGCAGAGTATATGAATACAGGGAGTGGAGCTAATACTGGAAACAGAGTAAATTGGCCTGGTTTTCATGTGTTACGTGATGCCAATGAAGCAAGCCCATTTACAGTTACAAATTTCATACAAGGTGAATCTTGGATCCCAGCAAGTGGAGTACCATATTGGGCTGGCATATGATATGTTATTTGTCAAGACACTCAACAATGTGGAGGGTATTAAATTGGGAAATGTGCATGTTACTACTAAAGTTGTATTTGTAGAAATTATGGTCGTCTAGTAGAGTGTATAAAAATAGTAGAGTAGATACGAATAGGTGTACTAATAAAAATAAGAAGTATGGCATAATTTCTTGAAATAATGTTTGGTTATAAAATATCCTCCACAAATATGGATAAAAGAACGTGAAAAAGATTTTGATGGACAATTATGTTTTTGACCATGCTAATGCATCCGCATTAAAATTCTATGCATTACTAATACTGTAAATTTCCATGTATTAGTTATACATATCTTAATACCAAATAGAGTATATAACTAATGTATACCTAAATTGAAAAAGTGTACTAAACTGTACTAGTAATACACCAACTAAATAGCTAAGTATATACAACTCTTTTGTTCTTTATGTGGAAATAGTTTTCTTTGAACATTTTGAATAATACACAAAGCCAAGCCATTCAACATTTTGAATATGAGTCATCATCCCTATTACTTGAGCCATTCAACATTTTGAATAATACACAAAGTATATATATGTTTGAAATTATGTACTATTTTTTAATTCAACAACTTAAATATTGCATAATAAATAATATCAGCATAACTAATGCAAACATTACTAATATAAATATTAGTACACCTTATTCAATGTTATTCTAATACACCTTATCAAATGATTAGTAATTTACGTACTCTCAAAATTAGGCAAAAGAAGATTGTATCCTCTGAGTGGTACAACTACAAGTATCATATCCTATATATTTCCAAACAGTTTTGTATAATATTTTTAGTTGTTCTACGTGATTTGTATATTTTTATAAGTTAAAAAATTATTTAATTTTAACAAATTTATATATTTTACGATTTTTGCATTTTTAAAAAACAAATAGAATGACTTGTAGCCCCTCTAAATCAAGTACTACTACATTTTAGATAGATTTAACTTGATATATGATTATGATGGTAATGTCCATTATTGACTTTACACACTTCTTAAGAAATTATAAATAGAAGGGTAATTTACTATATCACCCTTTGAATATAATAAATACAATGTCTTGAAAAATGTTATAGGAAAATAACTATAATTAATGATAAGGGTAAATTATGAACTAAGTGTAAAATTATCCATTGATTTCATAAAGTAGACGAATATTGTTGGACATCCCAAAATAGTATAGTGGACACCTATTGTTGGACATATGGAGTATCATGTGTTAAGAAATCTTTTTTTTTCACATTCATCAAATAAATTGAAATGGATGGGGTAATAAATTACTTAACTCTATTCTTTTTTAAGAGAAGAAATGAAGTGACGTGATTCTTAAAAGTTGACTCTCTAATTATATTGCACAATTTGTTTTCAGAAAAGTGATAATATAAAAGAATTTTGGTATATTATTAAATAGTAGTAATATCGAACATTAATACTTAAATGTTTTATGGGAAAATTATGCGGTTAAACAAATTATACTACTTAATTATTCATCATAGCTATAGTTTGCTATAATTACCACTCACGACTAACATTATACATTAATTACGCGGGCAGACTTCGAGTTTATATAATTAGCCACATTTGTATATGTATAATTCGCCAGAATATACAAATACATGTGTATAATATACAATTATCTAACCTATATACTTATACTATTCACCTTTCTCCCACTCTTTGCCCCCTCTCTCTCCCAGTCTCGCTCACCTCTCTCCTCCATATAACATGTAACTACAAATTGTAATTATCAAACTATAGTTATGGAGAGTAATTAGGATATTTTTGAGTGGCTATATGTGAAAGTTCCCATGTTTTAATTACCTTTATAAGGAAAATTAAAACAATTTGTTGGAAAATCATTATTGCACGTAGGAGGATATAAAAGTTTTTTAGTACGTAATATATATTTGTTTTTAGCGGTCCATAATGTAGCATTTTTCTTCTTTTTTAAAATTATTTTTTAGAGTTTATTTATTAGTCCTTTTTTCCGCTGGAAAACCCTAAACTGAAAAACCTCTCTTGCTATTTTCCTCTCCCTTGCAAGAAAACACTCATAACCATTTTCAAAGGTCAGCTTTATCCAGCTTCAAAGATTCAACCAATTTAATCCATAGTTTTTATTAAATTTTATTTCATTTTTTTATATGTATATTGGGATGATTAATAATGATTTTGTACTTTGTAGAGTTATTGAAAGAATCCATGGCAGGAGGATCAGAAGTGGTTGAAGCTGCTTTATCTTGTGCTAAATGTAGCAAGCCTGCTCATCTTCAGTATGTATCCACTCTTTGTAATTTTTGTATGAGTTTTAAGTGTTTCTGCAAAGTGATAGTTTGTAATTTCCTTTGTTGAATTTGAATATTTGGAGACAAATAAATGTTTTCAAATATTCAACTGTGTTTGAGCTTATGCGAATTGCATATTTGTGTGTAGGATTTAAGACTTAAAGAGATAATTTTTTGAGGGTTAGGTGGATTTTTCAAGGGGTTAAGATGAAAGAGGTGTTCTAATTCTAGTAGGTAGAAAATAGTAGTAGTATTTTTAGTTTTATGAATTGAAGATGGAATGGAGTGATTGTCATTAGCTAATACATCCGAATACAAATGATCTTTCTCGTAACCTGGGGATTTCTGTGTCCTTTATGTAGCAGTGATAGGCTAAATTCATTCCTTTCAGTTTGGAGTGTAGGTCTATTATTGGCAAAGGTAGTACGATGCAATATCAAGTCCCGAGTTTGAAATCCTAGCTGGTGAAGCAAGTTTAGTATCTAGTGGTGCTGATAAAAGAAAGTCTAGTATCTAAGTGGTAAAGATGAGGGCAGGCCCATTATCCTTTGGGTTTCTGAAGCTGGAACCAGGGGATTTCTCGATTATAAAAAAAATAGTATAGGTTCTATTGTGGTTTAAAGCTGTATGGTTGACGATGCTGATGATGTCTGGATGTAATAGAGTATTTTCTTTAAGGATATCATCAGCTTGCTTTTCGGGACCTTCATTAATTATCCTTGAACTTTGAAGTTCAATGCATCCAACAACTGGTTGCAATTGCGATGTGTGATCTTTTAGCTATTGTAGTTTGCAATTGCGGTGTGTGATCTTTTAGCTGTTGTAGTTGTACTGCCTATAATTGATTTTTTAGTGCTGTTACTTTCAGGGAAGAGTTTCTGCCTGTGATATCTCTGTTAAATTATTTTATCTTTTATTTGAAGGTGTCCTAAGTGCGTGGAGTTAAAGCTTCCTCGTGAAGGTGCTGCTTTCTGGTTTGTAGCTTTGACCATTCTTTTTCTGAGCTATCTTCTCCAGTTTTCATCATCTAACTAAAGCTTAAATTTGGGATTACTGATGTGTATCGTTTATAACTTTATATCATAACTGAAACCGTCCATCTGTGGGAATCAAGCTATTCTTTTTTTTAGCAGTTTGTACATGGTATGTATTAGTTTGGTATAACTGTTGTGATGTAAGAGAGGGATAAGGGTGTACTCACTGCTTGTTAAAGATTTGTATGTGAATAACCCGTGCTCCTCCATGCTATGTTTGCAGAACCTTTTGTAATAGGTCTATTGTCTATTATCATATTAGAAAGCTGGACTCCCTATCTGCATTAGTTGTTCAATGTCAAAAACTCAGGTTTCAATAGTGGAACTGAAACAACGAGAAGACATTAGAAGAATATTACATTCTAGCTACTAAACAAAATGTTTGGAGAACTGCAACCTCCTGTCTGATAGATCAAATCTAAGTGGATTTGGAAAGTTATAACTGCTGTAAATGTGAACTGAATAAAAAAATGAATGGCTAATGGGACGAGAATCTCTTCCTATGACAATAGTTAGATCTTTATTTTCTCTGGCCATTAGTCTAATACCTTGATTTTGATGCAAGTTGCTTCTTGTCAGCACGCAGGATTGTTTCAAGGCATCTTGGAGTTCTCACAAGTCTGTCCATTTGAAGGCAAAATTATCGTCTCTGGCAACTGAAACTCCAGGTGAACAAAATGCAGCCTCACCTAGTGATGGTTGGCTATATTGCTTGAGGAAAGGACAGGCTCGAACACCAAAAATTCCGCATTTTGACTGGACTGGGTATGTTGGATATGGTTCTTTATCTTCGACCTTTGCTGATGTAATATGTACATACCTCACAACCTTGTTTTGGATTTCCATGGTTCCTCTCCAATTAGAAAAGTTAGAACTATGCATTTATTCGGTAATGGACTACTTTCTAATTTGATCCTATCATGTCTTGCATAAAACTTGGAACTCTCCCGGTCAGATTTTAGTTGGTCCCAAAATATCTAACTCTGTGAATGATAGTAAGACACTGTTTTGGCATCGGTGAATGGTCCTTAGAATGCATTTCTCACTGACATTTATTTCCAGCTACAGTTTCTTTGAACTGTCCTGCTCTCAATGTAGAATTAGTAAAGGTCCTGACAAGTTCTTGGTGAAAATAAAACTGGCTAGCAGAGTCTATTTTGGAGTCGTGTGTTCCTTCTTCTCCTTTACTTGTTTGGATCCTTGTTCTTTGCTGTCCTTAACCTCACCGGATTATGGAATGCATTTCTCATCGATATTTATGTCCAGCTACAGTTTGTTAGAATTGGCGTACTATGGGATGGAGAATTACTAAAGGGGCTTTGCAAGTTTGTGATGTTACTAGGGTGGCAAAATTAGGCCATCCCAACATTTGGCGGGTTGGGCTTATTTTCATGAAGTGCCAATCTTGGCACAACCCATGTCTCCATCTAAAAGTTGGGATGATTTGGACTAACAGCCTGTTTGGATTGGCTTATTTTAAGTGCTTTTAAGCAGAAATAGCTTTTAAGCACTTTTGGAGTGTTTGGGTAAATTAAAAGTGCTATAAGCACATGATTTTAAGCTAAAATGATAAAAATACTAAAGCCAATCCAAACAGGCTCTAAATATGTAGCCCAAATTGACCCATAAGAAAATTTGTCA